TCACCTCACAGGTTTCTGTCCTAGGAATTGGCGGGTGAAGTCCTAGCGCTGGGTTAACACTGTGGCCTGTGTCTGTGGGCTATCCTGGGCCAGCCCCTGCTCACTGGAGCAGAGTCAACGTCTGTAGTGTTGGGCCTTGCTGGGACGTTGGTGCGCAAGGCCCCGCCCTGGGCATGGCTCCAGGATCTCTGGCGCAGAGTCGGCATTAAAGCGGACTCTGCCAAGCCCAGCTGGCTGCAGCAGAACCTGAAGGCGGGGGAGAGCACCGAGGGCGGGGGCAGGGGGCCTGGAAGCTGGCAGTATTTGCCAGAAACAGCTTGCTGTTCATGAGACAATGGCTCCACTGTTGACTGCCCGGGACCTTAGATTAATATTTGCAAGAGGAATGAAGTGGAAAATTCCCACCTGTGTGAGTGGAGGCCATCCTTGACCAGGACAGGTCAACAACCCTGATTGCCTTGTTCTGTCAGATATGGATCGGGAAGAGACACAAAGGCCTCAAAAGACAGAACCTGGAGGTGGGCAGTACTCTTGGGTCCAAGGGAATCTTTCTATTTGGGTCACAGAGATAATGTTAGTTTGTGGGGTTTTATACTGTCCTGTCTACTGCCCCCATCCCTAAATTTTGCGTGTGTGTGTGTGACTTACGCCTAATCACTTTTTTTTAAATTGTTGAGCTTTAAGTGAAAGTTTACAATTCAAGTCAGTCTCTCATACAAAAGTTTATATATACATTGTTATGTGACCCTAATTGCTCTTCCTATACTGTACTGCCTACACTCCTCTTTTCCACCTGGATTTCCTGTGTCCATTCAACCAGCTCCTGACCCTCTCTGCCTTCTCATCTCGCCTCTGGACAGGAGCTGCCCATTTAGACTCATGGATCTACTTGAGCTAAGCACCATACTCTTCACGAGTATCATTTTATGTCTTACAGTCCAGTCTAACCTTTGTCTGAAGAGTTGGCCTCGGCAATGGTTTTAGTTTTGGGCTAACAGAGAGTCTGGGGGCCATGTCTTCTGGGGTCCCTC